CAGGAAAACAGGGCAAGAGCCCTAACTAGATTTCAACCCGTACAATGTCTAAAACTATTAGACATAATCAGATCTACTAACATAGGACAAGAAAAAAAGATGATAAAGTATGAAGATGTAGAAAGAATGTGTTACCGGTGTATTTAAAGCGGCCGATAGGAACTCAACTTGGTCTTATAGTGACCATATTGTAACAATTTTTTAAAGTGTTGAACACTAGTAGCATGCTTGATAGATCTTGATAGAATGAGACAGACTATTCCATACCTTAACTATCCAAGTAAACCTGTGATGAGTTGTTTTTTTTTTTTTTTTTCAAATTTAACAAACTTTATTACAAAAGAAGAAAAACAGGCAACATGCATTACAACACTGCTTATGTAAGTAAAAAATAAATAAACAAACAAAAATCGAGAAAATATATGTTTGTATACTGTATATATGCTATAATACTGTTTACAATTTAACAAACTAAGTTATTGGTCTAAAAGAAAAGGCAAAGTTACTCGAAAGAGCAATCTACTTGAAAAGTCATCACTATATTTTGACAGACCAAAGAGCTTTGGTAGGTAACCAAAAATTTCGTAACATAATTTGCTTCCTCAGTTGAACCAAGAGAGAATGGTTGAAAGATGCAATCACCTATTAACGTTTAGTCGATATCAAAAACGAAAATTTACCGAGTTTAAACGATTTGTAGGGTTCTTAAGCATCCCACTATGACATAAAACCAGAATATTAATCAAATATGGAAATACGGAAAATTATCACCAGGCCATCTGATCTATCCACACGTTTTTTAGTGCGTCCTTTTAGTTATTGCGTTACCCTTTTTTCCTTTGCACTTCCAACTGTTTGGAGCGGAAAATAAGAGCAAAAAAACGAAACCGCAAGATTTATTTATCGCTCTCCTGATGTTGTTGTAATTGTTATCATTGTTCTTTAAGGCTTTGGCTTTGGCCTTTACGCGTTTTATGACCTCCTAAGTTCTTTAGCGTTATAAGGTACCAATAACATCTTTCATGACAAAGAGAAGAGAGAAATTGTCAACTTGGTTGTAACTGAGAGCTACTTACATTTTTAGCTGCAGGGGTTGTAAATACTTCGGCGTAGTCAGCCAAGGGAAACCCACGTGTATCTCGGCGTTCAACTGCGTTAACTGATCCTAGCACTTGAGTGGTCCGTTTAATAAGCAATTGCTTGATAGCGTGCTCGGGATTATAATTTATAACCTTAATTAATGGTTACTCAATTCTTGTTCGCAATTTATCGGCAAATAAGCTCACGCACGGGCTTTAAAATTAACGAGAAATTGAGAAACTGAATGAAGCGTTAACCAAGTATAGTATGAAGCATTGCGAGTTGATTCTACAACCAGAAAATGCGTTATTCGCTAGTAATCACGATCAAGAAGTCTCTAAGTCTATTGATAATAAATCAAAATGTTTTGCATTGTAAAAGCGAAGATTGTTTAATAAAAAACAACGGAAGCAGTGATAGAAAGGACGCAAAATAAATAGCTTTCAAGGGAAGGATAAAACAATTATAATTTAATGTACCTTAAAAAACTATTTAAAGTTGGTCAAGTTGAGGAAGTTGAGGAAAAAAGAAATCATCAAAGCTTGGAAATTGTGCGTTGTAGTGGCCATTAACCCACTCCAATCAACCAATGAGCGTCCAGAATTTTACACGGAAGACGAAGTCAAAATTGATAGCTTTTCATACTCCAGTTATTTAAAGAATAAAGAATTAAGCGGATATCTTCATAATTCATTGCTTGTCTTTCGCCGACGCTTTTACTGCAATTAGCGTCTACTTCAATGATCTTTTATTTAACTCTGTCAACGCCAAAACTGGCCAAAGACAGCATTCAACAAAATTTTTAAATTTCATTTTGTAAAAAGCTGAAAACAAATAGTATCACGTAAAGGTACTGCCAAAGAGGTTTCATTTAAATGGTCACGCTACAGGATTTCGTTCTGACAGACTCAAAAGTTAGCTAACAAGAGCCACCTTACAAAACTCCATCATTTGCTGGGGCAGAGGAAAGGGTTAATTTACATAGCTTAAGCAGCTGCTCTCACATCACATGATTTATATTCATAAACGAGGGCGTTTTGTTCGTATCATTACATTACTTTCAGGAAGACCAGCTATCTTAAATTGTCCCTTCTCAATTTAACAGCCATTGACAGTATTTTACTTCAAAGCTAACGCTGTCATTTTATAGTTCAACGTTTCATCTTCAAATACCGTATATGTTGTTGATTTGCTAAACGTCTTGTAAGTTAGATTTTAAAAAATAGTTCACATTTTAAAAACGAAAAATTATATTTCTTCGGGTCTTGTAAATGAAGTCATTTACTTTGTTCAGGAGCGAATAATTTTTTGAGGCTTCACCATATGTACAGAAATAAATCCATATTTACATTTGCCGGCCGGGCTAAAACATCTTTTCTCGTTTTCACACTTATGGTCAATAACAAAACCCACAATTCATAGATAAAAGAGTGCGTATAAAAAGAACAAACCACCGTAGATATTTTGGTCGTTTTATTGGCATTCTCTCCGTCCTTACCCAACTAAGTAAAAAAAAATAAAGATGTATATGAATACCTAAATACGACTTAATTTTGTGAGAATTAAACTATGCATAAAATAGGGGAAGTTGTAGTTTTAGATGGACGCAATTTTCACGGCACGTATTTTGGAAACATTGTGTCAAAAGAAGTCAATTTTGCACATTTTTTTCCCTCTCCAAAAGCTGGCGTACAATAACAGGAACCCGACGAAGAACCTTAAACCTTCAACAAAAGTTAAGACAGGTTGTCATGTTTGTTTTTGATAAAGTTTAGTTTTCAGTATAATTGTAAGTGGAGAGAAAAAACATTCATCGATACATTTCAGAGAGTTTAAGCTTCACGTCTACGGCAAACGGCAAACGTCAGATTCAAGTTGAGAATTTCTCAACATTGAAAATAAGCAGATGAAAACAGCTCAAAAAATTCTTATGGATAAGAGATTGCGTGAAACTGCTTATTTATGCGTAGAAATAATAAAAAGTAAACGTTTGACGTAAACGTGATGCTTAACTGCTCTAATATATCATGGTTTTTTTGTAGATGCTTTGGTCTGTAAAAAAATAAGTTAAAAGCATCAACTAATTGTGTTCGCCTACTTAACGCTGTAACACAAATTCAGCCCTCCCACGCAAGTAAACTCCTAATCTCTCCCGCCTAACCGCTCATGAACGTCTATTAATAGCATCTTCAAGGAGATGAACCATAAGCTGGAAAGAGACTGGCGCCAGCATACTAGAAACCTTTAGATTCTAATACGAGGATTATTAAGTGAATGAGATTTTCTCAGTACTCAGTACCTAGTAGTATGCGCGCGTGAAACAGCCTCATTTGTGGAAAACGCGAAAGCCATCGTCATTCTTGTAAGAGTTTTCGCGAAAATATGGTGGTGACGGAAACAAGTTATCAAAAGTTAAAAGTTTTATAATTTTACCATCGGGAGAGGGCCTAACCTCTTAAATAAAAACAACCCGGCCTGTTGACTTTAAGATCTGATGAAAAAAAAAACAAACTAAATTGAAGGGTTCGGGGGTGTCTTTTTTTATTTGAAAGATACGCGTTATTGTCCTAGTAGTCGTCCGCGTTCTCGAATCGAAAGATCTCTATTACCAAAAAAGGAACAACTGAACGGATACGCTGAAAACTGGCGAACATTCTGCAAGTTTTATTTTTGAAAATGGTCGATGCCTATATACCTGTAATGAGAAGTTGTTTTCTCCATTTTTAAGCCTATCAATCTGACTAATATTTCATTCCAAAAGGATAAGAAGTTCCCAACACTGTGGCACTACGCTTTCACCAAAGCAAAAACCGAATCACGTAGTGTTATAACCGTACGTGAAGCCTTCAGTTTACTGACGTATCCTCAATAACGCTTAAATGTATATGGAAAATATATTTTGGCCTCATTGCATTTTGCAGTAAGTTTTGAAATCGGTTATTGTGCTTTCTAAGCAAGAAAAACATATTCCTTTTGAACAAATGATCCACAAGTTAGCCATCGATTCAACCTTTTACTTACGGCGTTAATATTCAAGACACGTTGAACAATCCTTTCACAAGGTTATACTGATTTATTAAGCAGTTAGGTTCAACAATAGTCAATAAACGCAATTGTGAGGAAGCCTTTTAGCCTTTTATAACAAGGTTTATTGGACTTGCGGTGCACGGCGTTAAATGAATAGCGTTTCTGTCATTTTAAAGTGGCTAGTCAATAGGAACGTCCCATTTATTTATTTGGTGTTGATTTGATAAGCCCCAATATCCACGTACAAATTCTCCAAACTGATCGCTATACATTTCTTTAAAGAGTTAGTAGAGAAAATTTGATAAAAGATCAAAGCACCTTCTCTTAAGTGATCATTTCATTGCTTCTCATAACCTTATCTCTTGACAAGGTATGGATATCGTTGGGAGAAAATTGATATTGGTCACCATTGGGGCTTAAAGGGTTAAATGAATAGACCAGATGTTCTATTTAGCACAACAAAGAGCTTCACAGCCCGTTTAAATGTAAAGAAAAAGGAAAAGCTGGAACAGCTGACCCAGGTTAGGTAATTTCAAATCGCCCAGAACACTTTTCGTCTAGGTTTCGTCTTTACTTACTTGTAAACAACTTCTCAAGGCGCTCGTCTGTTTAACTCGGAATAAACTCCGTCGTAAACGGTACTCGTTTCTCTGTGCTCTTTACCCTGACTAGTTCTGAAGGAGCTCTATGCGCAGCGAGCGTTGTATAAGGGAACTTTTGTACAAAAAAGGAAATATTGCTGTGAACTAAAATTGGCTTTTGCGGTCCTTTTGTCATACAGTAATAGCGCATCATCAAGGAAGCCATTTGGCTCCAAAAATCGTTCTAGATACTAACTAAAGTGTCCACGTCAAGCTGACATTGGCTTGTGTTATTGAATTAGAAGAAACTTA